CCCAGCACAGAGTGAGCCGCCGGCCCCGGCCCGGGCAGCGGAGGAGGCCCCTCCAGCACCGACGGCCGCCCGCGGGGTGGAGCAGCCCCGCTGCACGGCTCTGGGGGGCCGCTAAAACCCTGACGGGGCAGCGAGAGGCGGCTGCGCTTTCCTCTGGGCCTGGCCTGGCTCCGCATCCCAGCTGACCGCGCGAGAGGCAGCCGCGCAGGGCCCCGCCCACGGCACCTTGTAGTCGTGGATGATGCGCTCCGCGAACGCCTTGTCCAGCATCTTCTTGTACCACTCCTGCAGGCGCTTGGGCTTCGGGATCTTCTGGTCAGGGGGGTGGCAGTGGAAGATGTAGTCGTCCCCTTCGCTTGGGGGACAGGCCCAGATGTGTCCTGTCACGTACCTGCAGGACACACGAGTATAGCTCAGGAGAAAACACTACGCCAAGTCCCGCCTTGAGCAGAACAGCCAAGAAGCAGAGGTGGGGCCGTGCAGAGCAGAGAGAACAGACAAATGACCAGAACACGCATGCAGGACGCGCGAGACACCAATGGTTCCAAAAACTGGCGTGGTGGCGTGGGGCACACTGGCTTCTGGGGCGTGGGCATGGGCCGGGGGGGGGCTGCGGGAGCCGGTGGGCGCGGGGGGGACCAGGGAGAGGCGTCCACTCTGCTCAGGATGCTCCAGTCAAGAAGCAACTTACAGGCCTCCCTGGGGGCGCAGCGGGTTGAAGCGCAGCACTGTGGGGCTGCCCGCAGCCCGCAGCACGAGTCCCACCCCGGCCAGGGGGGACCCCAGGGCGCGGCGGACGCCTCCCGTCTCCCCGTGGCCCTCTCAGCAGTGGATTTTGGTAGAGCCAGCTGTTCCGCTCCATACTCTGTCTCTGGGGAGTCCTCTCACCCCCCGCACCTCTGGCCTGGACCCCAGTTTTTATATGCATGAATAAATGTTCAAAAAAAAAAATAACAAAATCCAAAAAACAAACTCAAAAATTTGCAAAGGGACTGTGACAGATTAGAACATAAAAAGAGAAAAGAGAAAAGCGCCAGAGGCCAGAGACCACCGCTGGGGGAAGCCACGGAGAGGACACGCCCACGGAGGCAGGCTGGGGGTGCAGGGCACAGGCCCCGCGGAGCGGCGGTGTCAGGATGCGGAAACACGCACAGCCAGGTTCGGAGGAGCCAGGGTGGGAAAGGGGGCACAGAGGCCGGGGCAGCGGGCACCGCCGGCCCGGCGAGGGGCGTCACCATAGAAATCTGAAAGTACTCTCATGTCACTAGACACACACCTAGCGGAAAACAGGAGCAAAGCTCGTCACAGTTGAGAACGATTTACACTCACCCCAATTTCTTCACGTATTCTAAGTACCCGATGAGGATCTCGTGGTAAACCGCCGTCCGCAGGCACCGGGGCCGGAAGAAATGAATGCTGTCTAGGTAGGATATGTACACGCGCCTGGGGAGGGGAGAGCCACCCCACGCTCAGAGCCCGCTCGCTCGGCACCCCGGAGCCGTCTTGGTCGGCGGCCTTCGCGCGGGCCCG